AGAGGATCAGCATTAGCTTTAACAACTGAAACTGAGGATTCCTTATCACTTGACGTGTACGTAGAGAATAATGACAGTCAGGTTGTACATCAGTCGGGTTGTTAGATGTAGAAGGTACTGGGTCAGGAGGATTGTCAGTGTGTGGCTCACTCGTCTGGATGCCAGGAGTTTTGTCAACTTCATCGCATACTAACTTCACATGATCTAAATATGATTCTTTATACTGACCACTGCTAATTTCTCTAACCTTATACTACTTGTTACCACTTACATGCTCAACTACTCGGTAGGGACCAACAAATTTTTGGTCAAGCTTTGGCATTGCAGATGTTTTATTGAAATTGGTTAACATAACTCTTGAGCCTACTTTAATTGTAGTTGGCTTTGCTCAAGTGCTGGTGACTCTTGTAAATTCTGCTGTTGATTTATGAAGTGTTTCTCGGATTCTTCTGAAGACACTTTGAGCTAAACTGGTACGAGTCACTACGAAATCATCTGTGTTATAGTTTGGTTTCAGAGTGGAATATAAACTCGTAGAGTAAGTCTTATTTACACCATACAATACATAATATGGGGTATCACCTACAGAAGCATTATAAGCAGAATTTATTGCACATTGTACGTCGGGTATAATTTCATCCCAGGTTGTACTATCGGGATTAATAGTTGCTCTCAAGACATCGATCACTTTCTTATTAGTTTTTTCCGCTAACCCATTGCTGGCAGGATGATGAGGGACAATGGTAGGCTTAGAGATCTTGTACAAGCTACACAACTTTTCAAAAACCTCATTGCAGAATTCACCTTCATTATCTGTTACAAGTCAAGTTAATCATGTCAGAATGCTTTAAAACATGTATCATTTTTTGTGTCTTCAAGATCTGTCTTTCTAGTAAGTTTGCCATTCTTTCATTTAGACTCCCCTTTCTTACTATACATATACTTTTTTTTTATTTATTAACACATAGGCCATTTCCCACCAAGGTAGGGCAATTCACTCCATCACTGTCTTGCCAGAGGTGTGCCTACACTACAGTTAAAAAAATGAAACACATCAGCACCCCTCCTTCAGAGTGCATGCACTGTACTTCCCATCTCCAGGATTCAAGTCCAGCTAACTGGTTTCCCTGAATCACTCCAACAGCATGTCAAGTCATAAAAACCATTCATCTCCACTCTCTCTTATCTAACATGCTTGCTGGAAATCCAGTCTCCTTGCACACAAAACCTCTTTCACCACCTCCCTCACCTTTTCCAGGATGACCCCTACCCCGCTTTCCTTACGCTACAAATTTATATGCCCTCCAAGTCATTCTATTTTGTCCCATCCTCTCTAAATATCCAAACCACCTCAACAATCCTACCTCTGCCCTCTGGATAATAATACTTTTAGAAACCCCGTACCTCTTAATCTCCAAGCTACGGATTCTCTGCATTATAATCACACCACACATTGCCCTCAAACACAAAATATACTTTATCACTAATTCCTTTCAATTTGTTTTTGTTGTTCTTTGTATCAACACTTTCGTACCTTTAGTGCTTTCATTTATGCATCTGTTACATATTCAAATAAATTCATACTTGCTGATACCTGCAGTCCATGCTTAATAGTCATCTTTTAATGGGAAAATAGGAGGGCTAAGTAATGGCAGTGGCTATTGTACTGGTTTATGGTAATCCAATTTAAGAGGGTCATGTGTAATTGTTGGGTACCTAGGCTATAAAAATAGAAATGATACTGTGTAAAGCATAATGTCTATTTATAAAGTTGGCACATTGTATGACACTATATAAAAATATCTTAGCTCTGTAAGGAAAATATCTATTGTGATGTAATGAAAGGTATATTGAGACTTTGGTTACTGCACAACCTAGTGCTAATATATTTTAATAGAAATATTAATGATATTTTTTGTTTTTATCACCTTATACAATGTTTGTGTAGCTGTATATATATTTTAGAAGTTAAAATACTTTTCAAAACATGTGTATAGTATTAACTATCAGTGAAAACCTACAGTATTATGCAAATTGTAATTTGAGGTAGAATGGACTGTGCAAAGAATTTATTACAAAGGCTTTGATTGATACAGCACTTGCTTGTAAAAGAAACAAATGGTGTATATATATATCCTAGGAGTTTTGCCCTTATGAATACCAGACTACAAGTTTTTCCCTTTTACAACTAATTTTATTTACAACAGAAGAGTTGTGAACTGTTATAGCAGTGGTGTCTTTTTTCCAGCACTACACCTGTCTTCAAATTGTTATGTGTATTTGGTTCATACAGAGGGAGAGTGAGTGAGTGTGAATGAATGTGGATGGATGAATGAATGCCATGGAGAAGATCTAGCTTATTTCTGACAAGGTCACCTTCCATCTCTTCCATATTCTCACATAGCCTATCATTTTTATCCTATGATGACCTCTGATTCCATTACCCCGATACAGAATTGTTACTAGATTCTTGCTACACACACATACATATCTTCAGCTG